ATTTTGGCTGTGATGAAGAAAGCTGCCATGAACATTTGTGTATGATGTTTTCATTTTTATTCATTTATTTATTTATTTTTGGAGATGGAGTCTTGCTCTGTCACCCAGGCTGGAGTGCAGTGGAGTGATCCCGGCTCACTGCAACCTCCGCCTCCCAGGTTCAAGCAATTCTCATGTCTCAGTCTCACGAGTAGCTAGGACTACAGGCGTGCGCCACACACAGCCAATTTTTTGTATTTTAGTAGAGATGGGGTTTCACCATGTTGCCCAGTCTGGTCATGTTGCCTCCTGAGGTCAGGCAATCTGCCCAATTTGGCCTCTCAAAATGCTAGGATTACAGGCGTGAGCCACTGCGCCCAGCTGTGTATGATGTTTTCAGTTTCAATGTTGACATGTTTTCAATTCTCTTACTTACACACTTAGGAAGTTTTATAGATTTTTTACCTATTAAGCAGGTCTTGGAAACATCTATTTCTCTCTCTCTCTAAGCTACCAACATTCCCTCATCTGGACTAAAGCAAAAGCCTCCTCCCTTCTTTTTTCCAGGCCTCTTCTCTACCTGGCCCAGTAATCCTGCTTTTTTGTTTTGTTTTGTTTTGTTTTGTTTTTGAGATGGAGTTTTGCTCTTTCGCCCAGACGGGAGTGCAATGACGTGATCTTGGCTCACTGCAACCTTTGCCTCCCAGGTTCAAGCAATTCTCCCGCCTCAGCCTCCTGAGTAGCTAGGATTACAGGCACCCACCATCATGCCCAGCTAATTTTTGGATTTTTGTAGAGCTGGGGCTTCACCATGTTGGCCTGGCTGGTCTTCAACTCCTGACCTCAGGCGACCCACCCACCTCCGCCTCCCAAAGTGTTGGTTGGGATTACAGGTGTGAACTACCACTGAGTAATCCTTTTAGGACAGGAATCTGATCATGTTATCTCATTTTGCTTAAAACTTTTCCCTGATATCCCTGAGGCCATGAGGCCTTCCATCCCACCCAGGCGTTCTTTCAGCTCCTGGGATGTGCCACAGGCTCCTCCCCGTGGGCCCCAGGCATTTTCCTCTACTTTGAAAGCTTTCCTCCACTCTGTCTGGTTTACGCCAACCCTTGGACCTCCGCCTAGGCAGCCCCCTCAGAAATGCCCTTCCTTGCCTCCTTTGGCTGGTCTGGGCTCTCCTGGTGCCCCGTCCCTGTGCTTCAGTGCCTTTGTCACAGCTGCAGTTCTGCATCTGTTTGTGTGATTGCCCGATTACTGCCTGTCACCCTGCCAGGACTCCGTCTGCTTTGGTTCGCCACTGTACCTTCAGTGCTAGCAGTTTCTGGCACATATAGTCTCTTGGTGAACATTTGTTGAATAAACGAACACACATGTGAACACATGAACACGGTGGACAAAACAGCCTTACAGAGTTGTCAGGGGGACTCCTCACTAAATAAGCATTTATGTGAAGATTATTAGATGGCAGAACATGTGATTATCCTGAATGACAGAAGACCTGATATTAGTCATACTTGTTCTGTGCAATATACTTATGAGAACAAGCATTCTCTGCATTGATATTATTGAAATCAAAATAGGTAATCTTATTACAAATATAACCAGATTAAAGGTTATGTCTTTCCATTGTTAAACCCAACTCTGGTGATTTCGTTTCAGCAAAACAATGTTATCTGTCACATTGAATAATGTTCATTTGCAGTTTTCTGATTTTGTAAGTTTATTTAACTTAAACTAGGATTGTATTAAAGTACTTAAACTTGAGGACTTATACCGAGATTTATGTTTAAACATATTTAAATAACAATAGAAGAAAATAAATTAACACTGGTATCCAGGAGGATTTTTTTCTTTTAGAAACAAGGTTGATATATCACTCATGTTGAGAACACTGAGGTAGTGGATGGGGAGTTAGATCATGTGACCTTTCAGATTTCTCCAACCATAATATTCTACAATTTCAATCTTTTTTTTTTTTTTTGAGGCAGAGTCTCACTTTTGTTGCCCAGACTGGAGTGCAGTAGCACGATCTCAGCTCACCACAACCTCCGCCTCCCGGGTTCAAGTGATTTTCCTGTTTCCGTCTCCTGAGTAGCTGGGATTACCGGCCTGTGCCACGTCATCTGGCTAATTTTTGTATCTTTAGTAGTGACAGGATTTCGCCATGTTGGCCAGGCTGGTATCAAACTCCTGACCTCAAGTGATCTACCTGCCTCGGCCTCCCAAAGTGCTGGGATTAGGGGTGTGAGCCATTGAGCCTGGCCTGATGCCAATCTTATATACCATCAAGAAACTGAGGCATGAAATATGGAGACTCTCTGAAGCTATACAGAAGGAATTCAGGAGAGAGTCAAAAGGAACAAGCAAAGCATCCTAAACCAGACACCAGACGGACCAGGGATTATTAAATGATAAAACTTTCCTAACCACGAATGTTCCTAAAACCATATTGGATAAAATGAATTATTTACTTGCATCTCAAAAATCTCCAAGGAAGAACTGAAAAACAAAACAAAATGTTCCGCAACATTAAATGAACAAAACACTAGAGAGCTTCTGCTAGGCCAAGTTCAGTTAAATATAAAAAGTTAATTATCACCAAAAAAATGGTAAGTATGTAAAGTAATGCACATGCTTAGTAACTTGATTTAGCCTTTCCACAATGTATACATATTTCAAAACATCATGTTGTATACCATAAATATGTATGATTTTTTTAAAGTAAATTTTTAAATAGAGACAGGGGTCTCACTATGTTGCACAGATTAGTCTTGAACTGGGCTCAGGTTATCCTCCTGTCTTGGCCTCCGAAAGTGCTGGGATTATAAGTATGAGCCACTGGGCATGGCCAAATATATATAATTTTAATCTGTCAATTTAAGAAAGTCAAATAACTTACACTTAACACTTAGGAAGGCTGAATTAATAAACTTTATTAATAATGATAAAGTCTCCCGGATCTTATGTATTCAATGCCTATTATTAATTTTAATGTTAGCCTTCAATAAAAGACACTTTCTAGCACTCGGACAATTTGGGTCATTTAGCTATGTCAACCTGAATGCACCTGCTGGTTGCTTAACAGGTAAACAAAGTGCCAAGGCCCAAACCTGCCGATTTCTTCCTCTTCTTCAATCATACTCGTAATATGCCCTTAAAGACCAGTCTCAAATCCATTTCCCCCAGAGGATTTTCCGGCCTAATCCCTCTACCCCACGTTTACTTCTGCACTTAGCATAGTCCACATTAAATTATCCTTCGTGTGTCTAAGGTGCTTCAAAATAACTGTCTTGCTTCTTCCATCTAACCCCAGCAAGACAATAGGCTTGTTATGAGAGGAACTAAGGCTTCTTTTGGGCCGGGCGCAGTGGCTCATGCCTGTAATCCCAGCACTTTGGGAGGCCGAGGTAGACAGATCACGAGGTCAGGAGTTCGAGACAAGTCTGACCAACATGGTGAAATCCCATCTCTCCAAAAAATGCAAAAATTAGTCGGGTGTGGTGGCGGGTGCCTGTAATCCCAGCTACTCAGGAGGCTGAGGCAGGAGAATCACTGAACCCAGGAGGTGGAGGTTGCAGTGAGCCAAAATCATGCCACTGCGCTCCAACTCAGGCGACAGAACTAGACTCCATCTCAAGAAAAGAAAAAAAAAAAAAAACTTTTTTATTCCCCAAGGCCTGGAACTAAGAGCTTAAAAAGTGCTTACCCAACAAACAAAATCAGGGTATTATCATATAGCCCTATTTCATAACTCCTCATCTTTTGTTTTCACATTTAGTATATTCAAAGACATGGTAAGGCAGTGGAAAACCAATAGTTTTTCATCAAGTTAACTACTCTTGAAATGTTCAGGAGAAAAGACGTTTAAATTCCAACTCTTTGTCTTTGAATGTCCCAGAAATTGGTTTCTAAAACAATCCTTAACATTAAAAATATTTTAGAAAACAGAAGTTGAAAAGGCTCGCAGTGTGTTAGCAATCCGAATGATAACAACAAATTGATTTTAGTAGCAGAAATTGAAATATGACACCTGGAGCAGCATTTAAATTTGGATCTGTATAAACATCTATATCTTGGTGTCTGAACAAAATCAACTTGAAGCTCATTTAAAAATATTCTATCTGAAAAAAACCTGCACACAATCTGGTTAATGTAAGTTTTTTGAACTGAGCATATAATAAGAGGACAATTTGTCATTTTCATATACAAATAAAAACATTTCATCTTTTATTACCAAGGCCTGAAGAAACCACAACATTTTAAAAAAGAATAAATGCATAGTTTGTGCTTATTAAATAACTTAGAGTGTTAAGAGGTTGGACATATAATTCTAATATGCTATTTCCATACAGTCTTAAGTTCAAGTCATAAACCTTTCTCAACATTAAGGAAGCGAAATCGTTTTTTAAAGTATTTGTTTAAAAGGTAGACAACTATTCTTCATTTAAGTACAAGGCAAGAATTTTAGACTGGTTCAATTAGAAATGCTTTGTTTAGCAAATACAATGACTATGGCTGGTAGTTACACTAGTAATCTAAAAATAAAACAAGCTATTTCTGGTTTTACTGAATAAATCATTACAATTTGCATCTCCAATAAAGGAGTCTAAAATTTAAAAATAAAGTACTCTTTTCCCTAAGAAAAGAATGTATGCTTCTGAAACAATGTATCTATAAATAAGATTAAATAATACACATTATCAACAAGAAATAAGCAGTAACCCTGCCACTATAAAAATGCAAGCCAAAAGCCAATTCACACTAGAATCTTAAATACCCACATACTGGGGACACTGCAGTTTATTGATCTACAGTCAGATCTCTTGGCCAGGTGTTGCAGCAGAAATATAAAATAATGTTACTGCATTCCTCACTATCAAAGAGAATACAAAATTAGTTTAAAAAGTCCTTTCTGACAAAATAATGAATTCCTCCCATCCCCCTCCAACAAGGGAGCTTTTCTAAGGTGAGGGGGAACCTATGCCATATAGAAATAAAGAATGCAAAACGTATACCTCCGGCCTCTTTGATGCTGCACTGCTTGACAAGCTGTTTGCATGAAAATAATTCCCTTCAATTCAGGAAACTCAAGGATCTCAAGATAATCTTGAACAACTTTCCAGTCTGGGATCACGTAATGAGTCACATCACTAGACAAGAGTTTCCCATCTGGAACATAATTCAAAATGTAAGAGATTAGACAATGTTTTCAAACCTGGTTTATTTAAATGTCACGGTGCTCTGGCATACAAAATAACTTCCAGTCTTAACTCTACGGTGGGAGTTTTTAAAAGACCCAAAGCTCAGGTATATTGAGCACCCTCATTTTTTTGGAAGCTGTGATAAATACAAGCTCAACATGGTTTATGGTGTTGCCAGAGGTGCCGGAGAGGATGACTGATTTAACAACGAACAAGCACATTTTCAGCATAACCTGAATATTTCAGTGTTACCTCATCATTGACAAACACATTTAAATGAAGCACCCCCACATTTATACCACTTGTGTATGATGCCCAGCAATTTCAAGTTGGCTCTGTGTCAAGCTTCTGCACGTGCTCAGCAGCCTCCAAGAGCCAGAAAGATTGAATGGAGAAAATGATCCGTGCAAGCAACGGGCAGAGGTGGGGTTTCCACCAGGCCCGTATCTGAGAGCCGGTTAGCCAAGCTCTAACTGAAATATTCATCTTAATCACAATGTCTGGAGGATTCCAAACATTCGCTGACAAGGACCCCCATCCCATGCTCATCCTCCCATGGGGGAAGAGAGCCAGTAACGTGCATCGTTCTATCGGCCACCCTTGCAGCCTAGAAACCAAGGACAGGGGCCCAGGAGTCCCCAGTCCAACCTCCCCGTGACTTTCCTCTCCAGTGAGGGCCCAGATAGTTCACAAAGCTACGGTGAAGAGGCTCTCCACGGGCGGGAAAGTCTGGGGCACCAGCGCGGGTAGGTCAGGAAACCTGTGGCTGCAAAGCAGATGATGTCAGCTTCGCAGCGGCAGCAGCTGGCCTGCAGCTCCCGGGGGCTCCCGGCTCCGGACCTCCCCATTTCTCCGCCGCGCGAGGTTGCGGCGGGAGGAACGCTCGCGCTCGGCTTCCGCGCCCTTGGGCCCCTCTGAGGAGCCAAGCCACCCGGTCTCCGGGATGGGGTGCGGGTCTCTCGGGCCCTCCCACTGGACAGAGCGGAGCAGTCAGGGAGTCCCGGGCGGGGCACCCCGGAAGCCGCGGACTTGGGCCGCTGGGTCCCGACCGGCAGAGGGCTGGGTGTGAGGCCGGCAGGCGGGCGCAGGCCGCGGGGCCTACGCCTCGGTGTCCCCGCCGCTGGCGCTCCGCCTCTGGGCCGCGCTCACCCCGTCACCGCAGCCGCCCGGTCCCGCCCGCTCCCGCCGACCCGGTCCCCGCCCCGGCCCTGACCGTGGCTGCAGACGGCTGGCTGCGGGCAGAGCGGGCTGTGGCAGGGCACGCAGGGCCGCAGGTAGTGCTCGCGCACGATCCGCAGCGTGCGGCCCTGGAAGGTCCTCAGCAGCAGCACCTTCTCCCGCTTCTGCAGCATGGCGGCGTGTCTCCGGGAGGCCGCGGAGCGGCGGGAGCGGCCGGCGCTGCGGAGGCGAGGCCGCGGCTTCGGGCCCGCCCCTCGGCCCTGGGCGCCGCGGCTCCGGAACCGCCGTAACTGCCGCACCCGGGGGAGGCCCGGAGCCACACGCTCCAGGCTGGGGCCCGGCCCTCCCGGCCTCAGTTTTGTTTCCTTCCCTCAGTGGCCTGGACCAGGGCGAAGGGTTGGACACGACCCACCCCAGAGACGGAGGCAAGACTAGGATGATACCTGGATGACAGGTGAAGAAGGGCTGGGCGCAGCTGTCCAAGATTAGGAGTTTTTGTCCCCCCAGGTCCATGTGGGAATGGAGCCGCCGTATTAATACTAATACCTGGTAATTAATGTTTTCTCTTCGTTGCTCTCGCTATCTCCAAACGAGGTGAAAGACTCACCAAATAAGCCGGCAACCCTGCCAGCCCAACATTTCTAAAAAGTTGTATTAATTTTAAATTACATGTACTTTTTAAAAAGTTTTTTTCTTTTTTTGTAGAGATAGGGGGGTGAGGGGGGCGGGTCTTGCTCTGTTGGCCAGGCTGGTCTCAAGCGATCCACCTGCTTCGGCCTCCCAAAGTGTTGGGATTATAGGTGTGAGCTGCTGCGCCTGGCCTTTCATGTTCTTTTTAAAATTTATTTATTTGTTTTGGTATGCCTATTGAAGTTATCATGTACTTATATATTCAAACAATGCAGATAAAATGAAAACCAATCTCTTCCCTTGAAGCACTGTTCCACTCTAACTTTTATAGCTTTTGCAACCTCTGGCAAAGGATTTCTCCTTTAAACTGCCACTGTGACACAATCACAAACGTATACATGTTTATATTAATAGCTTTTTTTTTTTTTTTTTTTTGGACAGCGTCTTGCTCTGTCACTCAGGCTGGAGTGTAATGCATGATCACGGCTCAGCTCACTGCAGTCCCCGAACTCCTGGGCACAAGCGATCTTCACCACGCCTAGCTTTTTTTTTCTTTTCTTTTCTTCTTCTTCTTCTTCTTTTTTTTTTTTTTTTTTGGTAGAGATGGGAGTGTCTCACTATGTTACCCAGGCTGGTCTCAAACTCCTGAGCTGAAGTGATCCTCCCACCTCAGCCTCCCAAAGTGCTGGGATTAGGACACGAGCCACTACGCCCAGCCTGTACCTCTTGATAAAGAGATACACACGGTCTCTTCTGAGATCACACACCCTTGTTTGGATAGAATCCACTGTTCTTCCAGGCACTCAACTAAGACTTTTGAGCTGTACTAGCAGCTTTGTATACGTGTCCCATTTAATTTCCACAAGTCAAAGGAATGGGGAATTATCATTCCTATCTTATAAACTATAAAGCAGGGTTAGGGAAGTTAAGTGGCCAAGGTTACCCAGTTATTAAGTGGTGGGATCAATATTCAAGCCAGAATCTGACTGAATTCAAAGCAGGCTCGTAAGTAATTACCGTGCTATTCACAGATGAGTAAAATACAGGTCCTGCATTTAGGGACTTTATAGTCTGCTTGGTGAGCTCTAGTTAAGGCAGCTCAACCAGCTGGCTGGAAACATCAGACTTCCTGTGATGCTGAAGCAGGCAGAACTGAGGATGCTTTGTTGGATGGCTCTTGTCACTCTAGGGGAATGCATTAAAGAGAGCCACCATCTCCCACCCATTGTACTTCCACGTCAAGTTATCCTGCAGTGTGAGCTGATGTGAATGAGATCTGAGGTGGAATTGCACGAATTACGAAAACAGCACAGAGCTGGCCTGTAAGGCAACCATCAGTGCAGGAGGCTGTCCCTAACTCAGGAGGTCAGTTCTAGAGAGCCCAGAGGACAGTCAAGTTGCCAGATTTGTCCCTACATAAGTATGTTCCAGGCAGCTGCCCACAGTTCCCTCCAGAGCTCCCCCATGTTCATTTTTCTTTTATTTCTGATTACACCAGGTTATGGGAGGGTGTTGATTAGATACTAATATGCCCATAAGATCGCTCTTTAGCACTTGGTAGCTTTAAACTTTCTTCAAATTGGGACAAATGATCTTTTAAGGAAGAGAGTATGTCTGAGGTTCTATTGAAAGTTGGCTTTATTAGTATTTTAAATAATTTGAGGTCCATTAAGCACTTCCTTTGCTTGCATTTTGGCAATAATGTATAAATTATGTTTTAAAAATCATGATTCCTTAATTCTTGGAACTAATGAGCTAAAATGGACAAGAGTGCCTTTTTGCTGGTTGGTTGATTGGTTGGTTTGCCTCACAGGCCATCTGATGCCTCTTGCCTGAAAAAGGTGTCTATACCTATAAGAATAAGCCAGTTTATGCTGTGGTAATATACAACTTTAAAAATCTCAGTGACGTGGCCAGGTGCGGTGGCTCACGCCTGTAATTCCAGCACTTTGGGAGGCCTAGGAGGGTGGATCACCTGAGGTGAGGAGTATGAGACCAGGCTGACCAACATGGACAAACCTCGTTCTACTAAAAATACAAAAATTAGCCGGGCGTGGTGGCGCATACCTGTAATCCCAGCCACTCGGGAGGCTGAGGCAGGAGAATCGCTTGAACCTGGGAGGTGGTGGTTGCAGTGAGCTAAAATTGTGACATTGCACTCCAGCCTGGGTAACAAGAGCAAAGGTCCATTTCAAAAAAATAAAAAATAAAAAATCTCAGTAACTTAAAATAACAAGATGTTGCCTGAGCACCAAGAGCCTATGCTCAGTGCCCTTTTCTAGGACTCAGGCTGATGGAGCAGGCCCTCCCTGGAACCCGGACTGTGGTCATTGGCAAAGGAAAAAAAGTCCCCCAGAGAGTCTCATCCCAGCAATTAAAAGCTCAGTCCAGAAGTGACGCATTTCACTTCTGCCTGTTGACCACACAATAGGGGTGGGTGGGGCAGGAAGTGTGTGCTGCCTCATGGCCTGAAGGCAGAGCACTGAAGCCCTTTGGTGAACAGCATCGAAGACTACCTAAATGACCTAGCTCAAATCTCTTATCCCTAATTGAGTCAGTCTGCTCTGCCAGCACCTTAACCTTTGTTGCTTGTGACTACTCTAGCTCAGCCCACTATCTGGTCTCCAATTGGGCATTCTACTGCTCACCTCTTTTCACATTTGATGTGTCTTTCCCAACCTCCATGCCCCCATAGGCCAAGGATACATCACCACATGATCTCTAATCTTTATCACAACTCTTCAGTGTAAGTATGTGATTTCTTGTGGCAGAGACTGGTTCTGGTTCTCTGTTTGCCAAATCCATGCCCCCCTTTTCTCTGGGCATACAGATTAACCACGTTTCCTAGCTTGCCTTGCAGATATACAGGTGTGGCCATGTGACTGAGTTCTAGTTGGAGGAATATAATGGCACCATTTCCAGGCCTGGCCCATAAAAACCTCCCATGCATGCTCCTTTTCTTGTTCTACCAGCTGGAAACCAATGTCCAGGGGATTTTGGAAGCCAACATTAGAGATGGCAGACCCCTCACCAACTTGGGTCCCTGAAGTACTGTTCACAGCAGAGTGCTGCTGCCTTTGACCCAGGAGCATCCACAGTAGATTATCTTTTTTTTTTTTTTTTTTTTAGACAGAGTCTCACTCTGTGGCCCAAGCTGGAGTGCAGTGGTGCAATCTTGGCTCACAGCAAGCTCTGCCTCCTGGGTTCAAGCAACTATCTTGCCTCGGCCTCCCGAGTTGCTGGGACTACAGGCGCACGCCACCATGCCCAGCTACTTTTTGTATTTTTAGTAGAGACGAAGTTTCGCCATGTTGGCCAGGCTGGTCTCAAACTCCTAACCTCAGGTGATCCTGCCTGCCTCGGCTTCCCAAAGTGTTGGGATTATAGGTGTGACCCACCGCGCCCAGCCTACAGTGGACTCTTGTAAAGGAGAAATAAACTTTTGTTACAGCAGCTATCATCACCCTAACTAATTATTCTCTTTGTAAAGGAGATTAAGGAACTTGTCCAAGAGTTGTGTAGGGCTATTTGTTCAAAAATCCCTCACTAGATATTAAATGTCCTCATGAAGCTGCTCAAGATTTCTTTTTTCTTTTTTGAGACAGAGTCTCACTTTGTCACCCGGGCTGGAGGACAGTGGTGTGATCTCCACTCACTGCAACCCTCGCCTCCTAGGTTCAAGCAATTCTCCTGCCTCAGCCTCTCGAATAGCTGGGATTACAGGCACCTGCCACCACACCCGGCTAGAAGCTGCTCAAGATTTCTAGGGCAGTTCTAAATTGCATAGTTCTCCAGGAGGTGGGAGAGCATCAGTGGCCTGCATGTTCTGGTGTGCTCTGGGCTACAGGGCAACACCAGGAAGGATGCCTGGGGATTGCTTCTCCTTTCAGTTTTCCCTTTCCTTGTCAATCTAAGTGCAGATGGACAGCCTGACATCCAGACAAAAGAATGCTGTGACAGCTTTCAGTGCCCTGTTGCTGACAGAAATTTGTGACTGTGGCTTGTGTTCTTTGGTGCGTGACTTCAATCTTCAGGCTGAGCACCAGTGTGCTTACGCTGCAGAGGAGTTTGTAGCATTGACGTGCCTTCTTGCAGATGTGCTCTTGGAGTGCAGCCATCAGCAACTACTGGATTGTAATCAAAAGGTCTCATCAAAAAATTAGCCTGGGGTGGGGTGGGACATCTTTGCAAAGGGCTAGAAGGACAGGGGGGTTAAATGCCTAGAAGAAATTCCAGCAAGTGAACTCCAAGGGCCAGGGTGAATTACTGAAGCAAACTTTGAAATATTCTGTATTTGTTTATTTATTTAAAATTACAATAGTACAACATACATGTTGTAACACATTCAAATAGTACCGAAGTAGGCCAAGTATAAACAGTGAAGTTCTATTTCCATCCAAAGTCTACTCCTCCCAAGTAATTCACCATTGTTGATAGGTGGAATGCATCCCGAGTTTAAACAGAACCCAAAGTTTGCAACACTTTGAAGAATTTGTCAATCTATGCACTATCAGCTAATTACAACTAAGGTTTATCAAACTTTTACTAGGTGCCAGGCATTTCTCCAAACAGTTACTGTATTTCCTCATTTAATCCTCAACACAATGTCTTGCCACTTCTTCT